CCCCAAAACCCCAAAACCCCAAAACCCCTAGTGTAGATATTTCGGAAATTTGATCAAAAGATTAAAAAAATGAACTTTATTCATCTTACCTCATATCATCTAAATACTTCAATATACAATGTATTCAAGATTAGCATCTAGTAGATAAGATTAGAAGATCCAAACATTGGATGCGGCCATTTTGTTAGAGCCTTTAGCAGTGAATACCAACTAAAGAGATCATTCTTTTAAGCAGATTTTATGATTAAGCAAGCTTTTTTCATTTCACAGGATATGCAGATGGATCATTCTACTCATACAGATCAAAGTAAACTATTATAATGAATTCTAATTTATTAAGACTAACTTTCATTATTCGAGATAAAGAGAGTTGAAATAGACAACAGTAATGAAGAGTATGTTATAGTGGCACTTGTTCCTTATGATGTGAGTTTTTTCACAAATTTTTTTACACTTAAACTAAACTACTTTTAGGATTTGTAAATGAAAAAATGCTTATAGCTAGGTCTTCAAGATTATTTAGAAAAATAAGATTTTTCTAACATATCATCGGATAAAGAAAGTCTTAAAGATAAAATTATTAATGATACTCTTACTAATCTAAAGCTTGAGGTAAATCAACTTAAGTATTCCTAAACAAACGATTTTGATAGTAATTTCACATTCAAGAAATGATTAAGGAAAGATTTCTTGAGGCAGAAACATTGAATCGAATGCTGAGAATTTTCTACTTTTGGAACCTTGAATAGCATAAGAAATATGTATATTTTTATCTATTTAAAAGGCAAAATGATCATCATTATAGGTTTCAATATAAAACGACAGATATCTCCTAGATTCTAATTTTATTAGATTATATAATCCTCTAAACTTAGCTCACAGCTCTATTAAGCTCTAATTAGTAATGTTATATTTACTTAATCATTTTCTCTAAGTCTATATGCGATGCTGCTCTGAGTATGATAGATGATATTACAGTTGAAATTTCCTTTAAATTGGAAGTCACAATAAGATTGTGCAAGGTTATGTTTATGGATGTAAAAACTAATAGCATATTTTATCAATTACTTATAGTTCGTGAATGAATAGCAAATGGATGAGTTAAGATTTTATCTTCTTCCCTAAATGAACTAATGCATATAGATGAAAGAATCGTTTTATGTATAAAAATATAAGCCAGCATAAACACAGATCATTATTCATAATTAGAATACAGATAAAATAGAAGTTCGGAATAAATGTGAGTTCTTAACATCCCATCCCTTCGAAATGCCATGTCAAAGCTTAGAGATGGCCTTACTAAATTATAGAACTATATTAGAAGATGATATCATGAAAATGTACAATCATCAGTTAGCATTCATAGAAATGTCACATTTTCAGCTAGTTCATTTATAGAATATCAAAGAGTAATTTGAAACAGATGACTTCTTTTCAGAAATACAAACTGTTCTTCAAAAGAGAGAATAGTTAATGAAAGTTAGAAATGGTTTAAAGCAACAAGAAGAGAAGCCAGAGTTTCACAGTGGATTTAAATCTGCATCAAGCTTTAAAAAATAAATTGCATAGAACGAACAATAGCCACCAAGCATAGAAAGTCCTATTAAATCTTCAAATGAAATTCTCTTTAATAATGATGGCTCACCATTAAAATGTACTATAAATGGAGGTGATGAGAATATGACAAACTTAAATTTTGCACTAGATTTGATTGGCAGAAATTAAAATGAGGCTATAATGCTTTGCCAAGCTAAACAAAGTAAAGATCTATATTCCAAATTTAAAGAGTTTCCTAAACTAAAGGAATTGAACAGGCTAATCTAGACATTTTTATCAGATTTAGTTCAGTAATCAAGACTTAAAAGTTAAAATTCCAATTAAAGATTTCAATAAAAGTAAATTATAGGAAAATCTATATTGAAATAGAAAGACTATTAGATTTTAATATCAGATAACTTGGAAATATAAACGAGAAAAGAATTCAAGCCAACTATTCTAGCTTCAAAAACTAGGAATGGTCAAATTAATGGAAGAATTACAATGGAAAAAATAAATAGTCAATACATAAAAAATCTTAATGATGATTCATAATCGAATCTAAATAAAAGCACAGACGTCGAAATGAAAGATTAGACTGATGAAAATGTTGAAGATAAATAAAATTCTGGATTCAAAAGAGCTTCTATTATTGGAAGAGTTTCCCAAAATCCTAACCAATCTTTGCAAAACTTTGACTTTATGAAGAAATAAGTGTCAATAAACAGTGTTGATATCAAAGTTTAAGAATATGAATTAGAAAAGGAGGAAGTCGATTAAAAATTGGGGAAAGCAAAAAGAAAATGAAAGTTTATCAAATTGTAACTTAATTATATTTTTTAAAATCATTTATGTCAATTAGTTTTAAATATCTTTTTTTTACAAATAGTTTGAAATAGCTGTATAAAACTCAAAAAATACAACAACAACTGCCTCTTGCCTTCTATCTTAATTGTAGGGTGTAATCATCTTTAATCTAATAGTCCGATAGTCTATGTTTATTTGATAAAAGTTTATTATTGTAGTAAAGACTTGACATGTCAAAATCTAAGTGATTATTTTGAACTGTGATTAGTGCCAAAACATCATCTACTCGCATTGTTGATTCTACTTCCACTACCATGTTAGCCTGATGTTGATCCTTCAAGTCTATGTTGAGTCTCATTTTAATAATATGTAGAATACTTATTTAATTATTCTTATTAACATTTTTTAACATAAAATGTCTTAAGGGGTTTTGGGGTTTTGGGGTTTTGGGG